AATATCAAAATTTTAGCAAAACATAAGTAGACGTCTTTTGAAGTCACTGAAGATCTGTCACAGTTTTACAGGAAAGCTACCCCACATAAAACAAGAGGTTTTATAAGGACCATGAGTCTAAAGAAGGTCAGGAAGACATCAAAGATGAATTCAAGGCAGAGAGGTTAGCTCAGAAAGTTACGGAAACTCTTTTTTGGGATCCCAAAGAAGTAACTTTGATAGACTTTCTCAAAGAACACAGGATGATAACGTGAGTTAATTAGAAAGAAGTTTACAAACAATGAAAATTGCATTGGTTTAAAAAAAAAAAAAGTTCACCTAAGTTATACTGAGAAATTTTTCCATCATGGGAATGTACCTGCTCATTCTTCATGGGTAGGAGTCCTGGTGTGGTGATGTGGGTTAGTGCGCTGGACTGCAAGATCAGCGGTTCAATCTCAACACCTGCTCCTTGGAAACCCTATACACGGTCGCGACAATTCAGAACCATCTCAACTACGCTTAACAACAACATTCCTCATGGGTAGCAAGGGCTGTGCTACAAGAATTTTGTTGAGAAACCTTACGCCATTCAATCTACAGTCCAGGTTTTGCCCCTTCAGACTTTTTATGTTCCTTAAACTCAGAAGAACACAAACTGATTCCCTCGAGGATGCCAAAACTGCCATTTAACATGGTGTCCAAGGAAGTGTGCAGAATCGTTCAGGGAAGGGTTACAGAGATAGTTGGAAACACTGCCTTGCGAGGTAAACAGACCTAGATAGATGATCTGTAAAGAAACAAAAGCCTCATATTTTGGTATTTTTGTTTAGTAACTATTTCTATGATTTTATAGCTATACTTCTTTTATATTTTATATTTATATTTTAAAGCTATACTTTTTTATAACTACATTGTTGTTGTTGTTGTCAAGTGAAGTCGAGTCAGTTTCAACTCATAATGACCTGTATAGGATTTCTGAGGAGCAGCTAGTGGTTTCAAACCACCATCCTTGTGGTTAGAAATCCTGTGCTTATCCTACAATGTGAAGAGATGTTTGACAATTTACACAGGTGAACTCTTTGCTTCACATAGACATTTAGTTTCTCGCAAGAATATTAAAATTGAATATGATAAAGTAGAGTATGTTACAGTATTGCACTGTTCACTTTGAGAACTAATGTGCACTTGACCCAAGCCCTGGCATTTCCGATCACATGTGCATTCAAAAGCTGGACAATGAATAAAAAAGACTTCAGAAGAATTAATGCATTTGAATGATGGTATTGGCAAAGAATACCGAATAGATCATGGACTGCCAAAAGGATAAATCTGTTTTGCAAAGAGTAAAGCTAGAATGCTTCTTGGAATTGAGTATGGTAAGACTCCTTATCTTGGAGTTCGGACACGCAATCAGGAGCGACCAGTCCCTGGAGAAGGGCATCACGCTGGGTCAATTAAGTCAGTGAAAAAGAAGAAGAGATGGATTAACACAGTGTTTGAAGCAACAGTGGGCTCAAACATAGCAAATATTATAAGGATGACACAGGACCAGAGAGATTTTCTTTCTGTTGTATAAAGCTTTGCAAATAGTGAGGGTAACTATTATTTCATGAAATATTTTATTTTTCAAGCCAAAACAATATAGTATTTATTTATTGTGTCTCCTCCTTAAAATTGAACACTTTGAGCAACATCATCTCATAGTTTCTCAAAATAAATTTTATCCCTGAAGTACACAGAACGTAAGTGGGATTGTGCTGAGGAGCTCTGTAATCAAGTTTCTGGTTTGGGGACACACTGTAAGGGTCACAGACCCGCCCATTACTGGAGCTTATCAGCCGCAGGGATAACAGGGTAGCTATGATTTGGAGTGGACTTGAAGACATCTAATACAACCAGAAACATTCATGTGATAATCTGCACTTTAGAAAGCCCCACAATGACTTTCGTTGTTCTGCAATTTTTTCATTTAAAGGCAATATTTTACACTTTTTCATAGTCTCTATTGAGTGGTGGAGTTCTGGTATGATGCTGTGGGATGAAGTGCTGGACCGAAAGCTAGGTTTGAATCACAGATGGATGCTTCTAATGCACCAGCCGCTCCTTGGAAACCTTAATCAGGGCTGCTATGAGTTCAAACCGACTCGCTGGCTCTTAACAACAATTGAGTGGTGGTGATGCCTGTGTGCTATCAAGTCCGATCCGACTCATAGCAAACCTGTATAGGATTTTCTAGACTCTAAATCTTTACGGGAGCAGAAAGCCTTGTCTTTCTACTGTGGAGCAGCTGGTGGAATCGAACTGCTGAGCTGATGGTTAACAGCGAAGACGTAATCCACACCACCATCAGGGCTCCCTCTCTATGGAGAAGTATGGGTTATGTGACCCCATGGATATCAGAATAGAACTCAGAATAGAATACTTGAGTAGCCTCAAATCATTAACCATTAACTTTTTGAACCCCAAGTAGTAAAAACCTACCCAATTATTTCCAGTAATACTCCAAAAGTCACAATATTTGTTGCTGTTACATGCCATCAAGTCGGTTCCGATCCATAGCGACCCTGTATAGGGTTTCCGAGGAGCAACTGGCAAGCTTGAACTGCCAGTGTTAACTGTTCAAACTGACATTTCAGTCCAGTGCATTAATCCACAGCACTACACCAGGACCCCAAGGTGAAATGAAACAGTCTTATGCTTAAGGATATGGACAGAGATACATTTAACTTGCTAATTTTTACTTTTACTTATTTCTATTCTCTTTTATCTCACAAAGAATAAAATGCTTAGCACATAAGTACAATATAAGTGAGAACTATTAAAAGAAGGAAGCAAAGGGAAAATAAAGATAGGGAACTAAGTTATATGGAATGACTCAGTGGAGCATGGGGGAGTAATAAACGTGGTGCAGACTAGGAACTCTAGCCCATTTGTTAACTCTAAACTTTCTGGCAATTAATGTGAAGAGGGAAATAGGACCAGGTATAAAATCCCCAATGTCTACCCGGGAAATAACAACAATTTCTGAGCAGCATTTCCAGGCCTCTGGATATCTTCCCTTTGGGGTGGATTAAACACATTTACACATTCCTCAGGGTCCAGTAAGTGAGTTACAAAGTGGATTAAGCCAAAACCAAACCAGTTACAATACCGTCAATTCCAGCTTCTAGAAATCCCATGTGTGCCCAAGTAGAACTGTACTCGACAGAGTTGTCGGTGGCTGGGTTCTTGGAAGCAGATCAACCAGACTTTCTTCCAAGATGCCTCTGGGTGGATTCAAATCTTCAAGTTTTGGGCTATCAGCTGAATGCTTTATTGCTTGTACCACCTAGAGACTCCCTAGGTAGGAGGTCCCTTGTTACTGCCTCCACCCTCTGCCACTTGATTCATGGATAAATGTATGGTGCTAGCAGAAACTGTGGATTGGGACAAACAAGGTCTGCAGAACATTGGAGCTCAAGGTCACCTATTTCTCGCTCCTCCAAGAGCATTTACTTACTTTGGTGATGACATTGAACAAGGTGGTGACTGTTCACAAGGCTAATTGTTCTCCCCACCCCCACGGTCCCTTGAGTGTCCTCTGACTTCTGTGCATTGCAGTGAGATCTCAATAAAACTGAACTGAATGCTAAACTATTCTAAACATTTCTAAAAGGAAATAAATGAACAAAAATCCGGGCTTGTTTCTTTATTTCATTATTCACAAGTCATGAGACATTGGTTAAGCCATTTGACCTCTACTGGTTCCATTTCCTACCTGGTAACCAAGTCAATTTTGTTTACATCATAGATTTGTCTTGAGGAAAAAGTCAACAAACAGATATGATGTGCTGGCCCAGCGCCAGACACACATGAGGTACTGAGTATGCGTTAGATAGCTGGGCATCGGTGAAATTCCAATTCCAGGTGGGAGACCCGGATTCGAATCCTGCCCAAGGGATTGCCTTTGTAGCACCACCATCTACCAGTAGAATTACTAGTGTAACTAGAGTTACCAATGTGTTTCGAGAATGCTATATAGGTTTCAGAGGAGCTTCCAAACAAAGACAGACTACGGACAAAGCCCTGGAGATCTACGTCTGAAAATCACCCAATGAAAACTGAAGGGAGCACAATGGTCCAATTCACAATCAACACTGGGGATGGCACAGCACAGGGAAGTTTGTGTGTGTGTATGCGTGCACAGGGTTGCCACAGGAACCAAGTTAACAGCAACCAATCCCAACAATATTAACCACAAATCTCTTAGACTAGTTTCACTTTTTTTCCAGGGTCAAATCAACTCCCTCGTTCTCCTTCAAGCCTATTAAAGAGAACAAAAGCCATCCCCTCCCCACAAAAAGAAAGTAGGAGCCCAAGAACCATAAACAATTTCAGTGCCTACAAACAAGCCACCTTTGAAAAGTTTTCTTGTTATTGTTTCAAGTACTTTAAGCAAGGCTTAGGTTACTCTGAAAGAAAGAAAGAAAAATCTAAGACAGGAGAACAAGAGTCAGTTATTAAGTACCAAATTAACGCTATAACCAAGCAATAAGAAAGACAGGTAATTAGTATAGTCACAGCCAGAAGGCAAATCTGTTGCTAAAACAGGACTTGAAAACATATTTGGTCTTCACTCTTGAATGGGCTAAACTTGGCTTGTTAATACTAAAGCATCGATCCTTGTCTTTGCAGACCCTATTTGCATGGGTGGTAAACCAAAAAAAATGCATTGCTGCTGAATGCATTCTGACTGATGGCAGCCTGAAAGGACAGAGGAGAGCTGCCCCACAGTGTTGCAAGACTGTAACCTTCACTGAAGCCAACTGCCACAGCCTTCTCCCTCGGAGTGGTAGGTAGTTTGGAACAATCAACATTTTGGTTAGCAGCCAAGTGCTTAAGCACGGCACAACCAGGGCTTCTCTGAATAGGTGTCAAAAAAAGTAAAATTGAAACCAGCATGTCCAGTCATGAGCAGAGATGATTCTCTACATCCCATACATAGAAGTGTCCCAGATGAAATCATGGACTTGACTTACCTTTTCTGTGATATAAAAGTTTGAACTATCTGCATGCTGCAGTGCAAAATATTCATGGTTGGCAAGAGACCACCTGGAAAACATACACAAAAATTGATCAGGAAAACAGTCACTTGGTCATTTCCATAGCTTTATAAGTATTGTTGTTGTTGTTAAGTGCTGTCGAGTTGGTTCTGACCCATAGCGACCCTGTATAGGGTTTCTGAGGAGCAGCTGGTGAGCCTGAACCACCGACCTTGAGGTTCAAACGGCTCTGCAATCTAGCACATTAACCCATAGCGCCACACCAGGACTCCTTTCATAGGCTAGAGGAATTGAATCCTCTATCACTGGGATTGGGCCAGTTCCAACATATGTAGGATCCTTGGTGATTCAGTGTATTTGTTCCCTAAAACGAAATGGCAATGCACATTTTTTATTACTCTGAGACTTACCATTTCATAGATGGGCTTTCTAAACTTTTTATAAGAAGCCCATTACTGCTCACCTTGAAGCATTTCACCTCCATCGCTGGAGCTAGGGGAAATTAAAATATAAACTATGACATTCCTCCCTATTTTGAAGGGATGGAGCAGAGAAGAAATCTAGGGAAATTTTGAAAATTAGTAAGTTTCAATGGTCTCCATATTCTACAAGCCCCAGTAAACACACTAGCCCCATCCCGGAAGAGTCCAATGAAGTATGATTGATCTTTTATTATTTCTATGTGATACTCTATTCACAGTTCTACTTTAAAAGTCAAATAAATTCATGCAACTTGTGCATCTGCTTCTCCTTTGTATGCAACCAAAAACAGTAAGGAAGTCACATCATTGTGAAGTTCTGCAGAGATCACCGACTAGGCCACTGCCTCTTCCTCTAAATTCTTCTGTCTTCTGTTAGGATGTGAGTGGCCCTTTCAATTTATAGGAGATGAAGTGTGTATGTAACCACAGGAACCCTAAGGCTGCTCCCTGCTGAGTAGGATGAATGGACTACCATTTTTCTGAGATAAATAACACCAAGTCCAACATGCACATGCCTGCTATAACAGAGTTCCATCTTTTTTGAGGCACAACTGCACTCTTTTGGTAGAAAAGGGTCTGAAAATCATCCAGAGTAATTTTTGGTGACTTTGGACTGATTAAGCAGAAGCTCGCGAATACCATTGTACTGTTTTTCTACTGCCTCAGATGAATCCTGAGCGACACTTACCCATCGCAGACTTCCTTTATTATTGCAGACAGTGGTTTCTTCTGCAAAACAACAAAAAAGGAAATACTTACGGTTAGTTTCATTTCATTGTTTTCAATTTAAGGAAGAAAGCGAAAATGCCTAATAAAAATATGTCTATGCAGTAAGAATTTACATCTGCTGTTATGATTTGCTGTCAATGTGTCTTTTATTTTTCTCTAAGTAATAATCTACCGGCCATCACTCCACCCCAAAATGTATTAATGACTTATTATCCATGTAGCCCTTTCTAATATGGTTAGCTTAATAAACTGACCAAAATGTGCATCATATTTAACTTCCAAACCAAACACAATGGCACTGAGGGGATTCCAATTCCTAGCAACCATAGAGGACAGAGTAGGGTTTTCAAGGCTGTAAATTTTTATAGAAGCAGATTACTACTGCTTAGTTCTGCAGAACAGCTAGGGAGCTAGAACCATCAGCCCTCTGGTTAACAGGTGAGTGCTTCAACCACGGCACCACCAGGGAGCCTACCTATTTAATCCATCAATACAAAGATCTCAAGGGCAATGAAAGCCAGGAAGGATACATCATAACCAGAATTCATGAGTGGTAGCACATGAGTCAGGTAACCAGCCGTTTAATTTTATATAAACAAGCTTAGATGCAAGATGTGTTCATGAGCACGTGTGACAAATGGGATAGGAGGCGTTGCCAAATTGTTCCTACAAAGTGCATAGAATTCTTCCCCGATAATGCCACTCACGAAGCAGCTTGAGCTGGACACACTCGACTAATGTAACCGTAACACCATATGTTGTGGTGTCAAATGGCAGGCAGACTACAGCTGTGCTCTGGTGCCTAGCTGCCACAACTGTGCTCCACCAGCCCCAAGATGGGGGGAGCACAGCTGAGAGACAAACAAGCTTGCCCAGAGATGTGGAAACCCTTTTGGCGATAGATGCAAAACAGACCCTCTTGTTCTCCTGAGGTCTTGCTCTCCTGAGGGGGGAAATGCAGCCACCAAAAGCACAAGTCAGATAAGAAATGAATGAGGAAAAGAGGAAGAAAAGTCAACGAAATATAGCAAAGGGTCCTAGCTTTTCAGATACAACCATAAAAACGCTCTTTTCATAGAAACGTGCTTTTCCTGCTGCTCTGAAGGGTAGTGCGGTGTTATAAAGAAGAGTTTCGGAATCAGGCAGGCCTGGTTCAAATCCTAGCTCTGTCAACTCTCTAAAATGTAACTTGCAACGTCCTCAATTTGAGTCCCAACTTCTTTATCTGTAAATGGTAATAGTCTCTACCCACTTCTCAGGGATGTTATGAGAATAAAATAGAATGAAAATTAATTTTTTTTAAATGGCAAAAAACATTCAGTGTTAGAGTTCTGCCTCTTTGCAGTCACTTAAAGAGCTTCATTTCCATCCTTACATGTGAGTCCTGCTGGTGAATTCTGAACACTGTGCAAGCAGCCATCCCTAAATCTTTGTAAGAAACTCTAACGTAGTCCAGGATGCTCCTCCAATGGACTGCTTCCCATTGGAGCTCTACCCCCATGGATAAGTCCATTGTCTTGTGTTTAAAAGAATTCTTACTAAAGGAAATGATTGCAAGCTGCTACAATTTGACGAACTTGACCTATACTTATAGATGTTGTAGCTCAAATTACCAACTGTGAGGGATGGAGTTTTCCCATCAAGTATCAATTCTATCCCCACTGTATACAAGATAGATAGGGATGGGCAACTTAGACACTGGCTACTTAAAATGGGGGTGCTATAAAGGCTTACAAGTTTTCAAGAGGGAGTTTAGTTTAAGAGCATACAGGGGAAGCTGGAATTCCCACTGAATAGTTTTCATCTTGTCTAAATGGGTCTGGTGAAAAGAGATGGGGATAAAATTCTTATGACTCAATAGTGAGTAATCGTTATCATGACTAATTGCAACTGTCACAACTGTAAAGGTAGAAGTTTTGGTACAAAAATGGGGGAGTAGTTAATCTTACAATCCAGAAATAGAGGATCCTGGGACCATCAAGGGAGAAGAGCACTAATGGAATGCACGGACCCTATCCAGAGAAGCAGCAACACCAGAGATGGAGGCAGAGATGAGGACATGGAGAGAGGGAGCAGCTGAGGACTCTGGACTCATGGAAAGAGGAAGGATGTGTGCTGATGGCCAGGAGTCAGGCTTGCAGATTGTGCCCTTTGGTTGTTTAAATGACAATATATTCCTGAGTGTTTCTGTGTACATCTCCACCCCACCCGGACCCCCCAAAAAGTAACAAGAGGGAATGGAAGCAAATACTATTGAATGATGATGCGTGGAGGAGATTGTGATCATTGCAATGAAACTATGGTGTAAAGCCGATGTTCTTCCATGTAAACTATCGCTCAGTTCACAATTAGAAGAAAAAAAAAAAAAAGTGTAATAATAAAAAGTACAATGATCTCAAAAAAAAGAATTCCTACCATTATCAATAAAGACACAAGTGGAATGGACAGAGCTAAAACTACGAAGGAGTAGAACTAGTCTTATTTCCTGACTTCCTGAGTTGGTCTTCTTTCAAATAAGATGAGAAACAGTCATTGGATTCTATATACTATACAGATCCTAGGCCTTTGCAAGAACCTGTCCACTGTTTATGGCTCTAGCTGAGGTGCAAGTGTCTTCTCGCAACCAAATGACAAAGGAATGTTTAGGAACTGAATGACTCCATAAGATGAGGATTTTGCACTTCCAGCTGCTAGAGAGCTTTCAGACGATCAGTATATTACGAACACATGCCAGACAGACTCCTACTCTCTAATCTTTCGTATTACACCCTCAAAACTGAGACATCAACAGTAGGCCTCACAATATTGATGAGAAATGAATGAGAAAGAGGAATAAATGAGAAACGATAGGTCTTGAAACAATACACTAAGCCAAAAGATATTGATTGCCAATTGATGTAGGAGGTGACATCTAAAGTAATTGTTCCAAGTATTATAGACTTCTTAGCTGAGCTCATTTAAACCAATGACTTAGATTTTAATTAAGGTCTGATTCATAGATAGGGAATGAAATATATAAAAACAGAAGTGTATGAGGTACTATTATGTCTAGCATACTCTGAGATAGGATGTGGATACTTAATGGAGAAAGGTTAAAGCCACAGAGGAATCCTGGTGAACTGAACACTCACCATGCACTCTTAGGAATCAAAATGAATGTTAGTTAAGGATGGGAAAGTCTCATGGCTACTTCCTATACTATGTACTTCATTCTTCTATGTGCTGCACATATGTTAACCACCATCCCCCACTAACACCTGACCCCATTGATGTTTCCACATCTCTCATCCTCACATAACCCGCCCTGCCTTATGTGACACTGTGGACTGCTCCCTTCTTTTCAAACCATTTCTTTACTGAGCTTCTGTGATGGACAATTCTTCTCTCTGACATCTTTAACCAATCATTTGATACAACTCAAGGTATCTTTCATAGTGTCTTTTTTTAACCCCTACTTCCTAACTCCAATTTTCTGTTCTACTCTCTACTGCTTTTTCTAAATTGGTCAAGTCCTCATGGATCTCATTGACTTCAACTGTCATGGATCTATAGTTCTGGTCCTCTCTGACAAATGTCTGGCACTTTATTAGTAGACTCAGCATTCTAATTCTCCTTCTAGCCTTTCATTAAATGTGTCCAAACAAGCCACCATCCTTGCCACCTCCTACCCCTCAATCTACTCCAACAGCAGCATGGTCTCCGATGCCCCCCGCACCCCCCCACACACATACACACACTGATCTGCTCTCATATGGCACCTTTACTGACTAAGAGTCATCATTAACCTTTATTTCTTCACTCCCCGGATTTAATTTGTTACCAAGTGATGTATATATGTGATACAAACATCATTACTCTCCATCCCTTAACTACTCTTCTGAATTCCTGACTTTTCTCATTCCAGCTCATGCTGTCAAATTAATCTTCTAAATCACACCCAGTCTCATCACCCTAAAATGTGCTTCCCAGTCCCAGTTCTTTCTTCATGACAGCCCATCATTAGTAACTACTTGACATAAATGTCCAATCAAATGCTCCATTGGTATATCAAACTTCACTTCTTCTCTGCCATTACTTCCTTTACTCATCTTGCCTACTTTCGGCCCCCTTTCCAGGCATATTGTTAGAAAATGTGTCTTTGCCTTTCTCTTCCTCTTTTATCCTGTTCTATATGATGCACATATACAAGATGCTAAATAGTGTCATTGTTTCTTCTGCAATCTCCCATCTACCCTTTTCTGTCCCCTACCACTACCCTAGTTAGGGTTTTCAGGATCCTGTCTGCAAACCCCTGCAAAAAAAGTCTCTCCATTCCTAATCCACACAATAACTACAATGGGACAAAACTCTCTGCACCAAGTTTGCCCGTGTCTCTGTTTTGCTCCAAGATTCTCCATGGATCCTAATGATCATTAACTGTTATCACTGTGTGTCATCAAGTTGGTCCCAAATCACAGTGTGCCTGGATAGGGTTTCTGAGAGTGGCTAGCGGGTTTGAACTGTGGACCTTGAGGAGCAGCAGTCCCGTGTTTATGTTACGGCACTCAGCCATTAACTATAAATTCCTTAACTCCACCTCTGAGGAGTTCTACAACCTTGTCTCAAGCAATCAGTCTCTACAGGTCCTCTAGCTTTTACATTCGTTGGTAATTCATAAACGGTTTTTTAATCCCATCTCTTCATACCGTCACTTACGCTATTTGCTCTGTTGAAATGTCCCCTCTCCATTTTTCTGTTCCAATCCTAATAGTGAACACTGATTTGCCATTTAGTATGCAGGTCAAAGGAGCTCTGGTAGTGTAGTGGTTACAACTCGAGCTGCTAAACTCAAGTCTGGCAGTTCGAAACTACCAGCCATTCCATGGGAGAAAGATAAGGCTTTCTGCTCCCGTACAGATTCACAGTCTCGGAAACCCTATAGAGGGTCACTATGAGTTGGAACCAACTCCACGGCACATAACCACCACCACCATACAGGTCAAAGTCACCTTCTCCAAGCA